CAACTCCCAGAATTCCCCAGCCACCATCTTAAAGTGGCCAAGTTTGGACAACACTGCAATAAGGGGTAATTCACGCTTTTTCCCAGCCTTGTACATTGTCTTGTTTCTCTTAAACATTGTCTTGTTTATTGGTATCAGCCATACCATCATGATAGAAAGATGCTTTCTTGGGTTTATTCCTATTTATCAGCTGGTGCCAGAGGATGGTTTATATTCTTCAGCTCTCTTATCTTCTCTTTACTCCCCTTTTCTGATCAGCTAGTAGTCAAAAGATACATATAGTAAATAAAGATCACAGAAGGATAGATAGAGAAAATAAAGAATAGAAGGATATCTCTCGAGAATTTATAGCACCTTAAAGCTGGTCTTCTACGACGGCTGCTGGAAAAACAAGACTTGTGTTTTATTAGAAATAGGATTTATAAAGCTTCTATTACTTCAGAATATTGTTCTACCAATTTCATACTGTTTACTCTTGCAATATATTACCGCTGTTACTCCAGTCGTACAATGGAAGAAGCTTTGAATTGAAGATGCTGAATTTGGAAGTTCTTCCCTTGTACTTTACCAGTGAGTATTACTCACAAAGGTCAGAGGAAAAAGGAGTTCTGTGTCAATTCCCCTTTTTGACACTTGGCTTGTAGAGCCCTCTGTGGTTTCATCTCTCTCTACGCTGCCGTGGATTTTACTACACTTAGGTCTTAATTTAGAGTCAGGGAACAGTGATAACCAAGGATGATTGGACAGCGAGCTGCAGAAAAGTCAGCAACCTGAGATTCAGTAAATGGTTCTCTGATCTGGGAAAATTGCTTCCAGAGCATGGAATTCCTTCCTGCACAACGTGGGATTCTAGCAACATATTTTTATATGGAGTTGTCCCTGAAGATTGTCCGAAAGTCTGGTTCAAAACCCATCCACTAGGCTGTCCCAATCCTTAAAACACCTTCATTGGCCTTAGATTATTTCTAAGTACAACCGAACTACTGCTTCTTACCTTTGAAGCAATATGACTTCGAGGAATTATTTCTCCAGGCGCAAGCCTGTTTGTACAGTTGTATTAATTGGCAAATGTGAAACGTCTGGGATGAAGGGGGAGGCAATAAGGTACCTTATTTCTGGTGGCTCTGTGAAAGGCCTTCCCTGGCAAAGTCCGCTTGGTGCTCCTTTTTCCCAGAATAGACTCTGAAGGGACTTTGGAGGTCATTCAGCTAAACTCCCTGCTTGATGCAGGATCTGCTAAAGAATTTCAGACAGATGATTATGCAGACTCTCTTTGAAGACCCCTCATTCCCAAGTGAAGGAGACCCTACCATTTATTCCATTGATGGACAACTGATATCAAGAATTCCACCTGATATCTAACTTGAATCTACTTTCCTCTTGGTTCAACCCATGGATTATGGTCCTGCTTTCTGGGCCAACAGAGAACAAGTCTACTTTCTCCTCCATTTAAATACCTGAAAACTGCTATCATGTTTCCCTTCAGTCTTTTCTTCTATAGGGTAGTCCCAGTTCTTATTCCACAGGATTTCCCCATCCTTCCCTGATGCTCGTCTCCTTCAGGATTTCAAGCCATTGTATCTGATCTACCTTCCTCATGAGTTCTTCAAAATACACTTTTCTAAAATCCAGTGTACAAGTCCGACTCTTCTCTGTTCCTCCTTTCGGGTTCTCTTGAGCTCAAGGGTCACACAGTCATTTTCTTCTAAGGTTCAGGGACTTTCAGTTCTTCAACTAGTTCCTCCTTTTGGTGAGGATTAGGTCCAAGACAATGGTCCCCCCTCCCTGATTTCTTCCTCCACCTTTTCACAAATTAAGTTGTCAGCAAGAGAAGACAGGAATTTATTGGACCTCTGACTCTTCGCAGAGGTCATTTTACAGCAGATTTCCACCATCCCGTATCTCTCTGAAAGTTCAGTCATTAGCATAGAAGGCCTCATCCATATTTTCTGCCTGCCTGGGTGGTCTATAATAAACTCCCACGACAATATCACTTTTGTTCTTATTTTATGACACGCAGGCTTTTCAGTTTTTAAGCAACAGAACGATTCAGTGGTTTGTTTTAACACTGTCATGTTTGTTTTAGTCTCTCAGTGCGTGTGTTTGTATGCGTATAGATATAAGGGCTGTGCAAATTTTCAAAGGGGAGCTTGATTCATTTAGTGGCCCTCAAAGCAAAGGTATGGGGTTGCTTCACCTCAAGAGCCCCACTTGGCCTTCTCCTTCAGGGAGAAGCCTTCTTCTGTGAACTCCATGTGAGAAGGTTGAAAAGATGGAAGCTGAAGTGGGGCCTGGGCAGTTTCAGCGAGTGCTGTGGGGCAGGCTATCTAGACTGGGGCCCCCTTGTCACATGCCAAGGACCTTCCAGACTAGAGCACCTCGGCCCACAGGGAACGCTGCAGCATGTCTCGGTGCTGCACTCCTGAAAGCGCTTCAACTAGTGCTGGGAAAGAAGACTGAGGGGAGCTCCAGCGGCTTCAACATGTCGCACACCGTCAAGCAAATCGTGTTGCTACTCCGTCGGCATCCTCAGGGCTGGATGTTAGAGTGAACCCAAGTTGCTTTGCATGGGCTACGCACCTGCCGGGAGGCTTGTGCTCACAGTGGGGTTACTGTCGGCAGGTGCAACGTCCAAATGAAATGAATGGGTGTTTAATTAATGCATGTTTAGAAACGCACATCAGAAGGCTCCCCGTCACCCTCACTTTACGGTCCCAGAAGGTTGGGAAAGAGCGCTTCTGCTGTTCAGAGCTCTCTCCATCTTCCAACGCCCCGTGCTCTCCAGCTGCTGCCAGTTGCTATGGAGGCCCGTTGTAAACAGCCGTCCCCCCGCCATGCAAAATAATGAATCCTGCGAGGAGGAAAGGCAGTTAAGCCGGCTCAGCTTGCAAAATGCTGGGATGAGAATGCACGGGGAAATTCTTTGCACCGTTCGGTGTGTCGCCGATTTGTCGAAGCAGAGAGGGTGCGTGCTCTCTCTTTTTATTCCTGTCATTTGGTAAGAGCCTTCCTAGAGAGACATAAGGTTGTCCCACACCAGCTTTCTTTCTAGCGACATTGCCTGCCTCTTCCCCACAGGCCTTCTCTGCTTTCGACAAGGACCGTACCGGGACAATTTCGACCCTGGATTTCCGGCAGGTGTTGCACCATTTCTGCTTCACGCTTTCGGAGAAGCAATTCAACCATCTTCTGAAACTGCAGCGACTTCGTGGCGAACACTCCATCGACTGGAAATATTTCCTGCAGAAATTCAACTTCCTCTCAGAGGTAAGGATGGCGATCACGCTACCGTGCGTGGCAATGAAGAGCCGTGCCAGCATCGGGGGCAGAAGCTCCTTTGTTCTGTGGGTCAGTGGGGATCCATGCGGTTAGGTGAGAAATCGGTGACATTGGCCCTGCTTGGGGGTCACGGGGTCAGATCAGAAGCCAAACTGACCTCTGCAAAGTCTTACTCCCTACTGTGCCCTGTGGCGTCTGCTCTGCTCAGCCTCCCCAGTCCGAAGCGCAGGGCTTTCTGGCCCGTGCAAGGGGGTCCTTCAGCTTTATCAAGGATGCCCTGGGTTTCAACCAACGGGATGCAACCTGGCTGGACGGGAGGGGCAAGTGATCTGGGTGGTGTGTATTTGTGTGTCTGGGTGTGTGCAGGGGAGAGCCTCCTGTTAACCTGTATGGGGGCAAGACCCATCCTTCCCCCAAACCGGTTGGAGGGCAAATGGAAGTCCATTCCCACCAAGGGGAGACAGCTTTCTGGACTTCTCCCCTATTCCAGCTCTTGAAAGCAGGGGTCTTTTTCATCTACTTCATTCATTGGAGCGGTTCCCTGCTGAAAACCTCCTAAAAGGCTGTATGACCCTCACCAAAGACCTCTGCATCTCCAAACCTGGACAATTTGCAACATTTCCATTAATGGAGTGCTTTTTGATTATAGGTTTCAGCCCTATCTCTTTCCTAATTACATGAGAAATTAACCCTATACAGGCTAGCATTCAGACATCCCTTCAGAATTCTTCACCTCGGGGAAGACTAAGTTTCCCACCACTTCTGAATTAGACCACAAACCTCAAGAACGCGCTATGTACTGATGAAAGCCCAACCAATAAAAACTATGGCAAATACGCTACCTGAGGCTATTATAGCTTATTTTGGCTGGTCTTGAGTAGCTAAGCAGGACTGGAGGGGGAAGTCGAAGAAATATCACAGAATAAGGCAATGGCAGACTAACTCCTTATCGTTGCCAAGGAAACTACATGGAGATGTCCAGGTGGTTACCAGGAGCCAAGCTCACCTGGAAAGAGTCTTTGCTGTTATAGATGAAGCCAGGTAGACATTTGGATCATGAAATGGCTTAGGTTATATGATTAGGTTTTATATCCAAGGTTCATATGTCAGATCAACGCCAACTGTACCAAGCAGGTCTCCTCTAGATGTTTTGGGCCAGGGTTCCTCAACCTTGGTGACTTGAAGATGGGTGGACTTCAACTCCCAGGATTCCCC